ATCCATTCGCCCAAGTTCGATTGGTAGGTTATGTATTGTTTTACATTGTTCCTCTTGCCATCAATCTGTCCTGTGAGTATCAAATTTTAGAAACCCAACAAATTTCAACTGTCTTCTACTAATGTTATGTGTAAGTGTTCCTTTTGTTTCATTTTCTCTAAAACTTCACCATTGCTCACATGGCCTTCTCAGTAGAACCACATTTCTGTTGCTTCAAGTCTCTTCTACATCTGTAAGGAGATTGTCCAGCATTCATTGCCATATAGGCGGACTGATATTACATATCAGTTCAGTGTTCTCTTCTTTGTTGCTAACAAAATCTTTCTCTTTCTTAATACTTTACTTCGATTTAGATTATCAAGTAGCGTTCTGAATACCGCTGTCACGTCATAAGAAAGAGTTTCTGGTTTTAGACATAATATTTGAGTGAATTACAAGCATGTAAATATAAAGTAAAGGCTGTCTCTAATAACTATGAAAGAAACGTATGCAAAAATCACAGTAATATTCTCTGTTGCTTAGAATGGGGAAAGACAGCTGAAAAAAGTTCAACTGATCGCAAAATGTTTTCAATAGAAAATAAAATGAAACCTATTTTGTATATTGGATGTTTTGGGACTTACAAATTCATTTTTTTTAAATATTAACCTTTTAATCCGATTTTTCAAAATAGAACCTTTTGTCTTTTTTCTTACTTATCCTAATAAAATCAGAAACACTCAAGAAAATTAACAAGTAAATGATATATTTTCAATATTTTAAATGAAGTTTTTTGGAACAGTAGTCCCCATTATTAACAGAGGGTTAAATACAAATATTCTTACTTTTTTAAATAATTTCATCCCAAGCAAGGCAGGAATGCCACTAGTACGCAGGGGGTTACAGAGAGTGAAAGTGAGAGAAAAGACTGGATATAGTGAGGAATGATAATGATGAAGGGGATTCAAGAAGATAGAAGATGGCGATTGATGTTGCATTTAAACTTTTGAAAAAACTGTTGGGTAGAAGTAGTAGTTGCATTTAAATATTTCAACAGTAAAAGAGTGGGACCTAGATGCCAATGTAGTGACATGGTTAAATGCATTCAGTCGGAGCACCAGGGAAAACGTTAGTTAGAGAAGTTGCCATGAAAATATGTATGGAAAAGACAGAGGGAAGAAACGTCAAGTTGGTGAGAAAATGACTGAAGTCGAGATGTCAAGTCAGGATCAATTACATTATAGATCCTTCTTTGGATTTTGTCAAGAACCTCGAAATGAATAGCAGGAGCATCAGACCAGGAAGAAGCTGTTACTTCTTTGTCTAAATTTCTAGGATGAGAGGTTATTATTTGCATTATTTACATTCGAACTAACATACTCATTTTTGCTTTCCGTTCTTCTTCAGGTGAGTGTACCGACAGAGAATTTTGAACTGAATCATATTTTTAATCTTCAAGGGTTGGTTGTTACCTCGAGACAACAGCCTTGCAGATCAAAGTGTTTGTGAATTTGGAGTCATAGTAATTTTTCAGCTAATTCTAAAGGCTACTTCGTTTCAGTAGAAACTTGGTGAGCAATAACTGTGCAATACTAAATAAAAACAAGATGAGGTACACCTACACCTAAATAGCGGAACGAGAACAACCTAGTTTCAAATATAAATAATGGTAGTACCTTTCTTTCTTTTAACAAAAATCTGAATATTTTTTATTTGAATTCTAATGACAAATGTTCTAGGAAATCCAATTAAAGTGCATAACTTAACGAGGGAAGTTTTTCAAAGCAGTTATAAGTCACGAATTGACGGACATAAATGAATAATTTTTTAACTGTCTAAAATGAAGTAAAATGGTTACAATTCTGAAATATTTTGAATATATCTCTCAAAGACATCTGTTGCTTTTCACTGATAATTTTTTTTAGTATCCCTCACTCAATACCAGGCTCAAGGTGGAGGGTTACTGAATGAGGTTGTTGGAGGAACGTAGAGGGAGGTAATAAGTGGCTCATATTATGAAGATATACCGGATAGATAACGGTTGAGACTCGATTTAGAGATTGTAGTGATCGGGGAAACATCTTCTCGGAAAGACCGTTCAATCATGAAATTTTCTCTTTTAACAATGGAACATGAAGAAAATGAGGATGAGTCGACTCAGTGTATGTGACCTGAAGGTTTCTAGCTGTGAAAGACTCGACCAGCGGCAGCCGTAGTTCGCCCGAACCATGAACATTGCAATAAAGTAGCGAGAGGTTGCCAAGTGTTTCAGCCGTGGGAAAGGGAATATCGGATAGAAAAATGCGTTTGAACTCTATCGCGGCTGGAAAGTGAGGATTTTCTAGCTCCAGCCCAGATGTGGCAATAATGCTCTATTTTTGGTCTGATCTGACTCTTGTAAAGTTAGAGCATGGCAGGAGGAATCAGGTACTTTCTGGAGCGGTAAAAGAAACCGATCATTTTTTTCCGGCGTCTTTAGCGATGGAATATGTATACGATTTCCGCTTGAGGTCTGATGTAAGCTTCAACCCAATAGCCATTCCAGGCCTCATTGAGAGTACAATAGTTAATCATGACTATAGAAAACTCATGGTCTGCTCTGTGATGATGAAATATTAGTAGTAGATTTGGTGGTGTTGAACGTTACATAACAGTTCCTCCTTCATTGAGATGTGTGAGAAAATTCAGATGGAAGAGCTAAACAAAGTTTTTCGAGCAAGGTCTTCAGTATAATTAATGATATAAGCAATTTGTTTTAGATAACATTTCCTTGGTCAATAATAAAGGAAAAACTTTAATTTAGAAATCTATAAACATTTATAGTATATGGTTTTTGAATACTTTAGCTTATATTTATCTTTTAACACTAAATTTATTTAGAGTACCAAGGACCATTGAAATATTGGTTACTGATTATTTGCTATGGTTACATCATGCAATTTACATCGGATCAGATTTGAATTGTATAAAGAATATTATTTTATGTTACAAACGTGCATTTACATAAATATCTTTCGAAAAACAACTTATTTAGCGATCATGCCATATAACATATTTCTGTTAAAAACTATGTTTATATTGCACTTGCAAGCAATAGCAGATATTTAATGATAGTTTGTTATTTTAAAATGCCCAAATTTTAATCGTATTTGAATGGTAAAATTAAAGATAAAATGCACATTTACACTCTACTGGTGTTGCTCGAAACAATAAATACGAAAACAATAAATTAATACCTAACAAAAATATTTTTAATTTGAAAATAAAAAAAAGTTTATTATTTCCTAATTAAAACAGAAGACGAAAATATTTAAAAACAACGCTTAATATTTAAATATTTTACTGACTTATCCATCTTTGTAGAACATACGTCAACTATCATTAAAATCAATAGAAACAGGACGTTAAAAGATGATATAAATTGAAATATCTGAATCAATATACTAAACTACAAATAAACCAATATTGACGTTTAATTATTATAAGCCTTATATGTTTTAATAGATGACAAACTTCCGGTAAATTCTGCAACGAAGCTGGTCCCAAATGTAATACCCTATCTTACTTTGGATCTTGTCGGTAAGGCCGAAAGGTTGGACCATAGCGCATAGTTTCAATATATCATCACCCAGGATTTCGCTCTGGAGAGGTCCCTCTAGTCTCACCATCAAAGGACCGAATTTTGACCAAAGAACACGCTAAATTTATCTCGCGAGATAAAGGGATGTCTGTATTGCTTTAATACATTCACGTATAATGGCTAGCGACTCGTCTACAGAATACACCCGTCTGCTATTACGGCTAGATAATTAGTGTTGCAGGCGCCTGTTCAGCATTATTTGGGTTTCACAGAGCCAACCTGTAGATTTATACTGCAACTATGATGAACGTATCTTTGTTAAGAGTTGCGAGAAGAGACGTGATCAGTAGTTGAACAAGGCCTATGTTCTCGAATCCTTGGCGATGATGATTTAATACTTTGCATGATTTGTATCTCAGTGCTAGCTCATCATTGGCTTCCAAACAGTTTCTCCTACCCATTTCCATTTACAAGCCGTGGCATTATGAGACGGTGTCCCACGCTGGCTTAATCTTCTCAGACTGATATAATCATGAATCTATATTTTTGACAAATCAATCATGATCGGAACACTAATATTCTAACGACTCGACCCATGAAATTACGCACGCCAGTTCACATGCAGAAACTTAATTGGATGAACATCAAAAGGTATAAATATTTATCTAAATTACTATAAATGACTCAAACTCAATAAAGTTAACATTAAATTTTATTAGTTTGTATTCCAATGGAAATTAATCTCCTCTTTGAAATTTTTCTCTTTACGTTCCTTATGTTCAGTTCTTGAATATATTACGCCATTTTTCCATTTTGCTTTCCTTATCTTCTTAAAATATACTTGATACATATGCTTGTAATATACTTGACTAGCCCTAAGCAATAGAAAGAATGTTATTAAGAGAGAAAAAAGCTCTTAGGTAATTCCTTTCCAGATTCATATTTTTAAATCCTAAGAGTACAAGCTAAATCACTGGCAGTGCCTTTCTCCTCTATTCCCTAAACACTGAAGGTACTTGAACAAAAAACAGCAATGCGATTTAAGAAAAGATTTCGCAAAAAACCCATTCATGCTTTGAAACAAATAAAACTTTTCATCTTTTGAAAAGAAAAGCAGTCAGAACAATTAAATCAGAAAAATGTGGAAAACATTTGTTTACAATGCTAAAAAAACCTGAAGGGTGTGCCTGTGACTCCCATATTTTAAGTAAATTCCTTTAGTTTAAAGAACGTAAAAGACATTGGCATGCGTACTTTAATGTTTCTCCTTTTTATTTCTTCGTGATTTCTCTGTTTTATTTTTCTCTACTCTCTTTTCAAAATCTGAGCTTTTTCATGAAGTTGTCATTTATTTCTTCACTGCATCTCTTTCTCAAGTTCATTCAATCTTTTTTTTTATTCTCCTTCCACCCTTTCTTATTTTAGTTTCTGTCTCTTTCAGTTATACTTTCTGCTTTGTTGCACAGTTTTTCCTTCTTTCTTTGCCTCTATAAGTTGTCCTTTCTTTATGACTATATTTCGGATCTTCTCCTTTCTTCTTAGTCTTTTCTTTGTTCCTCATACTTTATCGCTTTCTTTTCTTTTTATTCTTCTTTACATTCTTTTCTTTCTAATAAATTTGTTTTTATCTCTTTTTTTTTTCTATTTATCCGTTAGGATTTTCTTTCTATTTAATCCCTTTTCATGCTTCTTTTCCCATCTTCACCCCTCACTAATTTTTTGTTGTAATCTGGCCCCATTTCTTTCTACTTTCTGTCATTCTTCTTTTTGTTTTCTGACCACTAAAATAATTCCATTGATGGCTTGTCTGTATAATTAACTCTCCGTTTGTGGTTACATTTTTAAATCCATCAGTCGACGAGCCCAACAATCAAATTCACAGAATACGACAGCACAAATTTCCTTGCGTAACTCCAACCTCGTTCGGGCAGCCCACATCAATCTGATCAGCCGACTAGAAAAAGAAGCTGGCCATCTCAGAAATGAAAGACAAAAACAATATTGTAAAACAATATTAAAACTACCACCAAATCATTCAATTAAATTCCATGTAACTCGCAAAAGCGCCTAAGTACAAGAAAAATCTGGTAAAATATGTGAAATAAGAAATTGGCTTTTTGTACTTTGCTAGTACACTTAAAGTTGCGCGTGAATAAGCAAAACATTTGCCTCGTACCACATAATGTTTTCATATGCAATTCTGTATTTATACATAAACAGATGTATTAAAAATGCTGATAATATTTTATGCTAAAAGTGAATTACAAAACCTATATAGAATTTTCCAAAAATGATATATTGTAAATATATAAGTATTTAGAGAACTCTTTCAGGTATTGGTCAATGGTTGGAGTCACAGTTTGTAGGAATCAACTTTAATCATTTCATTTTAACGCAGAATCACCTTCCTAGCAGATAGGAAGAAAAAAATTTTTCATATTAAAGTAACTTCAAAAAGTACGAACAAAAAAAAACAAACTTTGTATTCGTTAAACTTACGAATCTAACCAAGTAAACACTGTTGTTTGACACACAAATTAAAAAGTGAGCACAGTATTAAATGTATATGATTATAAATGATTAATTAGTCATTAAAAATCAAAATATTGTGAACTGTTTTTTAAAATAATCCTTACAAATGTTATAATTACAGCTTTTTAAATTCTTCGCCAATTTCTCAGTGCATCTAGCAGTAAATACTGTAATTAACTACTTAAATATTTATGAAAACTTTTAAAAATTCGTGACGAAGCAGACTATTGATAGTAGGGAGCAGATAAAAAACGACTTTAGCTGGATTGACAATGAATTTTATTGTGGGAATCTGCTTAAAACTGAATTAGCTTTTCTTTTGTCTCATTCATATGGAACTATTCGGCCAAATTCATGCTTTAATCCCAGAAACTTATTTTCCTTTTCTTAGAATTATTTCGATTGTTTTAACTTGTGAAGTCACTTGAAAGTTATTTAATTAGAAATAATTATTTGTATCTACAATAAACACAAAAATACATTTACATCACATCATATTCTAACATAAAATAGACAAATGAAACTGTATAATATGTATATAAGCAAATGGCTATATATTCTATTATTTACATCTCATTTTTATAGATTTTGTAACCCTATTTTTTTTCTTTCAGAGGTTCATTTGGTAGGCACTCGTTTTTAAATTCTCCTGGTGCGTTCCTATGAATCATCCATCAGTAGTTCACTCTCATACGTCCTAACGTTGCTGGTACATTCTCTCTACTTCCTTGATATCATAATGATTTTTTTTGTTGCCCTCTCAGATTCGCTGTTCTCTCACTGTTCCAAGACGTTTGGATAAAATTCCAAATGTAGTCCCAACAAGTGTACTCAGAGGTTCATGTTGAAACCCAACCCCTTAAAACTTCTTATATTTTTTTTGTTATTTGGATACTTAATATTACCTATGTATTTGGAAATTACTTATTTGATTGATGCCCAAGCCTATCGTTCCAGGTCGCTCATTATTCCATCAAATATCCATCAAGAATGAATTTGAGAATATCAGGTTCAGTAAATGCGCTTTCTTTCAATTTAGACTCAGACAAACCAGGGAACCTTTGGCATACATGCATAACAAGTCTTTAACAAAATTCTTCAGAAAGCAAAGCTTAATATGAATTAGTGATAGCAGAACATTTTTATGGATTCACTAATATAGGTTTGATGACGTCTTTGGCACCAACCTCTAGATTCGTTCGATTTAGCCATTCTCTTTGAACCGAATGTAAACCTTGGCTTTGTTATCCTAGTCATAAAAAAAAACCCTGAGAAATTTGCATATCCTGACTTAGTAACATATATGAGGCAACTGCATTGATGTTACTAGTAAGTGCACAGAATGGACAAAAATGATGTATATTTACTACTATCATGAAGAGGTCTCTCTTTCAGACTTCGTTTAGATCAGTCTATCCATTTTCTAAAGTGGTTTCTGTACGAGACCAATAACATTAGAACAATAAACCAAAGAAACATTTCTTGAAATATGGTGCAAAGTTTGTCTTCTTTATTTCAGTACAAAAATATATTGTTCCTGGGCATAATAATCTTCTGTTTCAATCTGCAAAATGTTCGGCATCGTCTTTGAGTAAATCGAGATCACTCCCTAAATATACATTTTGAGTGAATGGTTGTGGCCCGATGCTCGAACATTTTGCGACAAATTCTTCATCTTTATCTGCAGCATTTACTTTCTCTGAGAGAATTTCGACAGAAACATAAAAGTGTCTGTGGTTTATATTAAGAAAATAATTCAAAGTTCAATGGGAAAAAAAGAGAACTTTTACTTTTGAAATTCCAATGATATAGTCACGATCACGTGTCCCGTATCAAACGAGGGTTGTAGGGTACCACCTGAGCTGCAACCGTTGCAGCGATGCTGTAATATGATTTGAGGTTTTCATCCGTGAACTTCTGATTTTTATTAGGAAAAGTTCTTTCTAGATTAAAAATGTGAGAAAGCACCTAACCTGGAATGATTCTTTTATTTTTAAAAAAAGCACAGGTAGATCAAATTTATGATTGCGTATACAATTGAAAATACCTCCTATATTGATCTTAATTGGCTAATATTTACCTCGAAAGTTTGATTAGTTATCGTTCTTTATATTATTTATTAGAAGTTCCAAGAATTTATCTTGAATCTCATGTGAATATCAGACATTTTATTTTGCATCAATTCTCCTCTTTAAACTTGGATTTATTTCTGAAGCGATTCATCTGTAGAACAGGAGAAAATGGAAGAACCATTTTCACATTTAATTTTTAAATAAGTCTTCACTATGTACGATTGATTGAGCTGATACATTGTTGCTTCGGTATTGCAAGTTGAAAATGACATTCCGCACAAGTGTTGATAGGCCAAAAAATATTCAAATGAAATCCTAATAATTCAAATATTGCTCTAGAAATACTGGCGAAAGTGATTTTGATATTGAACTAGATTTAATATATGAAAACAAGCAAACCTGCAAGACGGGAAACATTAAACACTTCCCTACGAGAGGAATAAAGTTAAAAAGTACACACGTAAACTTGGGTGAGAATTAATAAATTGGTAAATCGTATTATAATCAACCTTGATTTCAATTGTGGCTACATTTGCTTCTTCATTACAGCGAAATTGATAAAGTTTACCATGTAATATATGGACTGAATAGATCCTCACTTATGCAAGCATAAGAGGAATTATCGAAAATTAGTCATTAAAAGCAGTTAAAAAATAGCCGTTAAAAGTCGTGTACCGGTAAAAGTCAATGATTTGTGCATATATTTTTGATTTAGATAAACCATCACTAACTTTCTAAAATACTCGCACTGCACAGTAATCTGAAACATCTGTTGTGTCAAAATAGATTGGCATCTAGGTCCCACCCTTTTACTGTTGAAATATTTAAATGCAACCGCTATTTCTCCTTCACCAGTTTCTTTTCTCGCACTTCTTGCCTGTGAGAGTTGCTTTCGTTTACTTGTTTCCCCGATAAATAAAATCTTCAAAAATGTAAATGCAATGTCAATCGCTATCTTCTATCTTCTTGAATACCGTTGATCTTTTGTCCTTTCCTATAATCAGTTTTTTTCTCTCACTCTCAGTCTCTGTAACCCCCTGCGTACTAGTGGCATTCCCGCCGTGCTTGGGGTGAAATGATAAAATACCCCCCTCCACGCCAAAAAGTAAAAAAAAAAATTAAAAAAATTAAAAACTTGGATGGTTAAAAAAATTTAAGATTTCTTCTAATTTCAATTACACTCACTGTTACACATACAGATCCGAGGAAATCAATGCGATTGTCACTGCATAACTTTCAGAAAAAAAACAGATATTTGAAATTTGGCTAATCAGGTGTAGATGTCAATAATTACGTTAAAACTAAAATCTCAACTGCATTTTCATTTATATACAAGTCACAGACTCCATTAAAAACACTGTATTGGAGAAATAGGCATTGAATGATTGTTGAGAAATATAGCATATTAGTGAAACTGAGAAAACTTCATAAGTATATACAGAGTAGGAAAGGTAAATCGTGAAATAAATTCAACTGCTTTCAGATATTAGCTTAAAATTGTTCTATCATAATAGTTCCTATGCGCTTCACATTCTTCTATATTCAAATAATTTGCTAGTAGTGATACGACATAATTACTTAGGTTAATGTGTAGCTTATCTGGTTAATGAACAGGTTTTAATGAGTTGATGTGTAATCATGCCCAGAATTGTGGGCATGAATTTACAGAAAATTCTGATAAAACCCAGTTCATGAACACATTTGTAAAACCCTGTAATGTAATGCTATGGATGAGATGACAAACAAGCACAGTGACACATATAAAGTGCCTGAAAACGCATCTGTTGGTATGAGAGTTATTTAATCGAAACAGACAACCAATAATGAGGTATTTCGGGAAGCAATTATCTATAATAATGGAATCAGTTTTTGATAAATATGTCTCTTTGATATGAGTTCTCTGAGTCGTACAGGCTTTTTGCATTTTATCTTGTTCGAACATCAGTGAGACACAAACATTTCAGTCATTAGCGTTAATAGCAAAATGGCACATTTCAAATATGACACTTTTTAGATGGCAATTTTTCAATATCTTTATTTTTGAAATCGGCTCATTTCATATAATCTCAATAATTATCTATATATTACACGTATGTATCTGTATATATAACTAAACGCCTCTCTATATCAAATATATATGTGCATACGATGTATTTATACTGTTATGTAGAGTAGTCAAAATATGTATATGCCTTTATTTTTTGTATTACACGTATGTATTAACATCTCTCTCTCTCTCTCTCTCTCTATCTATCTATCTATCTATCTATCTATCTATCTATACTTCGAAAAAATGATACTTTACGTAATACAATTACGCAAAGTGGGCTTCTTTCCTCAAAATATATCCCATATTTAAGTGTGAGTATATACCTAAGTTTCTGTACATGCGTTTGCTGATAGAATAATGACAACCGCACACGAGAAAAATACACCGAATTGCTCAGAAGTACACATATGCACATGCATACACAACATTTTATTAATTTATATATGCATATTATTGTAGACTGAATGCGTGTAAGACAGTTAATCGCATGAAGTGTTTATGCAAAATTACTTGACTACAAAACGAATGCATAAATTTTACTGGCAGTTTGTATTCAGAACTTTTATGATAAAACATCATTGAAAATGCAAAACATAGGAAATATTTGCTCATGAAATTTCGGAGATTAAAAAACCAAAGTTTTGATGCTTCCATGTCTCTTGTAGCTAGAGTGTGCGCCACCGGTACAGGATTTGCGTTTGCCGTCTCCCGACCCCCACAAAAATATATATTGCACGGCGACACTTAAAGTTATATATATATATATATATATATATATATATATATATATATATATATATATATAGTTATATGAACTAGTTTGGGTACCATTATTGTTGTGGATTCCGTGAATGGAATCCTGCAAAAATAAATAAACAACGTCAGTAATTGAGATAGAAAAATAAGTGTATTAAACGTAAGAATACAGACTTAAGTGAAAATTAGTAGTCCAAAGATTGACGGTGCTACTTTTATCCCAAATGGCAATCTGTTAAATTTGTAAAGTCCTTTGTGAGTATTGATACATAAAATATTTGTAATTTCTTCTTCGATTGGAATCTGAAGATAAGCTTCGCTTAAATCAATCTTAGAAAATACCTTACCACCATTAAGCTTGGTAAATATTTCCTCCGGGCTTGGCAATGGGTAGTGATAATCCTTGATAGCCTTACTTAACCCAGTCGAGAAATCTGCGCAAACACGTGTTTCTTCGGATTTTTTCTTTATGTCGACCACTCATGCCGCCCATTCATTGAATTCGATTTTTGAAAGGATTCCAGTTTGTACCAATCTATCTAACTCCTTGTCAGTTTTTTCTATGGTTGCGAAAGGCACGTTTCACTTTTTCTTGAATACTGGCTGAATATTTTCCTTTAGTTCAATTTTAGCTGTAAACTTATTACATCGTCCCAAACCGCTCGAGAATACTTCGGGAAATTGCCTGTGTAGTTCTTCTTTTAATTTTGTAGCTTCTGAAGGTTCACACTCTATTTTCTTACAAAATGAGCTAATGGGTAAATCCTATACGTCAAATTTTTGCGTCCAATCCGTGCCCACCAAATTTTCTGTGTCTTTCATTACAAATATCTTCAATTTTTTCGTTTTACCATGGAATTTTACGTTTAGAATTACTTCTCCTTCAAAATTGATACGCCTCGCTGTAACAGTTTAGTTTGTCTTCGTAGTCCATTCTAGTAGTTTTTACCCTACTAGTGTGTTTCTCGTTTCTGCATTGAGATGCCTTATGTCCCATTTTTCCACAAGCTAAACAGTTCTTGTATTTAAATCGACAGTCTTTATTCCAGTGGAATCCACCACATCTGTAACATGAAGATGGCGCGGGGGGGGGGTTATATTTGCTTTGATCTCTGTTATTAATCGCCTTACACATTGTAATTTTTTCTTTATCATAAAATTTTTGTTTTTCTTTTGGGGGGGGTGAAAACTTTTGTTCAACTTACGTTTGTGTGCTACACCCGATTCATCGATATCCTTAGAGTCTTTTTTTATACTCAAGAATTTTTGGCAGTCTTCTGTCAATTTTTGTAGCATTAATCCAGGCTCGTTTTGAAGCTTCGTGAGCATTCTTTTTCGCATTTCACTGTCCTTGGCTTAGACTAATCCCTGTACGAAAATAAGACACTTAAAATTGTCCGGAGTCAATTCTGCCAATTTAAAGTCATCGCAATGTTTGTTCACAATTGCGGCGAACGTGGAGTAGTCCTCATTTTCGCTTTTTACGAGGTTGAGACATTTCCACCTTTTGTGAAAAAGTGAATTCTTTTGACTGAAGAGCTCCGTAAGGCATGTAACTGCCTCGTCAAACGTCTGTAATAGTCCCCGAAATTTTTATCATCTTCTAGAGAGTATTTAAATGTTTCTATTGTGTTCCAAACTGCGTCTTGAGAAAAAGTTGCCTCTTTTTCGATATTCTTCTGTTGTACGTTAACCGTTACTTTTAATATTAATTCCTGGAGTTGCATTTGTCGTTGTTCATTTATTAGCTGTCTTTCCTGACTTCTTATAAACACAAGCATTGCTTTTTGAAAATCTTCCATTTTTTAGGGAGTGACGAAATTTTTCTTCTATCTCTTGTGTACGTTCTTTTATGTTCGTCGTTAATTTGTTGTTCTCTGTGTGAGTTCCTTCGAGTCTTGTCGCCAAGTTGTTGTGGTCGACGTGACTCTCGAATTTCCGTCGCTAAGTTATTGTGTTGGCGAGCGAAAAAAAATTTTTTTCCGTACTCTTCGTCGTCAAGTTGTTGTGTTGACGAGATAGAATTTTTTTTTCTGTGTGGGTCCGAAGTCTTCGTCGACAAGTTATTGTGGACACTGGCAACGGCAAATTTTTTTTTAAGTCCCCGTGAAGTGCGAAATCCTCGTCGCCAAGTTGTGGATTCCGTGAATGGAATCCTGCACAAATAAATAAACAACGCCAGTAATTGAGATAGAAAAATAAGTGTATTAAACGTAAGAATACAGACTTGAAGTGAAAATTAGTAGTCCAGGAATGCGGGTTAGTAGAAAATATATATACAAGTCTATGTAAGTAAAGCCGTAATCATCTCTCTCTCTGGACTCTTGTATAACTCTCTGAGAACACCCTGTGTCTGTCTCCGTATCTCTCAACCTGTCTCAACGTATCTCAACGTATCTCCACGTATCTCAACAGCAGGTATTCTCTCTGTCAGTATAAGTATACTTTGGACGAGTCCATCTTATGTAAAAAGGGGAGAGCCTCACAACAATTATAATATTACTTTCATATACTCAAATATAGTATGCTTTAAATACACACCAAACATACTTAAACTTTAACAGTAACATTTAAAATCTAAAAACGACATATAGGGAAAAAGTATAAAAAAATTAGGGCCATCTTTATTTCTAAAATGAAAATTACAACTTCCCACAAAATAACTTTTCTTGATTTTTTGTTGCCAAATTCTTCAATGACATTGTCAAAATCTATTTCATCTGTCAATTGTCGCTCTATATACAATATGGCGTGATTTATCAACCACAAAATGCTCATAATACATCTTAAATAATTCTTGATCAGTTTTAGTTCTAAAAAACTTCCTTCACAGGTAGAAACACTAACAGCAATTATGAGGAAAATCCGCAGCATTTTTATTATATTTGGAACCGTATTCTCAAGGTTATACTTTTGAATAAACTGCAAAACGTTCAAGGGGGTCTGTATTCCGTCCGTAATAGCAGCAACAGCAATAAAATGCTGAAGTCTTTTTCTCTCAACAATGACGCCGTGATCGTGTTCTATTTGATACTCATATTTATCATCCAAAAGATACAACGGGGTAAGGAAGACATATTTCTCAGCAAGTTTATAAATTTGTTGAAATCTCAAAGTTATTTCTTAGATCACTCTATCCAGGATAAAAACGTCTCGACACAAAATGTTAGTAAAAGTTCGTTTACTCACTTGAAGAGATTTGCGGCTTGTGTTGAAAGTAACAAGATAGATAATTGTAGTAAATATGTTTTTCTTCTTAGTGAGAGAGGATCGTTTAAGTCTGATAATAGATAAGCTAATATTTTTGCCATAGTTTAAGTTACTCGAAATGGAAAAGGTCTTTCAATTGTGAGTATTGTCCCGACATTAAAACCACTATTATTTCGGTTCAGTAATTGTTTCAATCAATTTTCACCATCTTTTTCGTTTCACAAGAACCAAACTGACGAAAAAAAAATCAGGAAAAATGTACAGACACAGAAGAGAATTTTACTTTCTTGAATTTGATTTCATTTATGTTATTTCATTTAATTCAATTGAACAAATCTTCTCTCGGATTATCTGGAAAATGGACAACTCAGTTTGACTTTAAGCCCCAGAAAAAATGCCAATGGGTAAATTAGGAAAATACTAGGTCTTTGAGGCAAAAATGTATAATTTCTCCGTTGTTGACATTTCTCTGAAAATCATAATCACTCTAAAATATAATATGAGAATCTAACTTGATTTTATGTCTTCTTATGTCTGTTAGAATTTGCCAATTTTTAATCGTATCAAGTAATTACAAAGAATAATTGCATCCCTGTCAAAGTGTTGGTATTGATGCACACATCTCTAGTGACGACATTCTGTATCGCTCGCTGGTAAACTCACGTCAATATAACCTCAGGCGAAAATGCCTATTATCTGTTTATGAGCTCATGATCGCATGTCGTGGAACAAAATAGCTGTTGATTATTACATTACCAAATAAGTGTTTTCTAGATGTCTAACAAGAATTTATTTCTCGCTGAAGGAGGCTGTAAGGAGTAAGAAAGAAAATACTGACAGCCGTAGGCTAAGTTAAATAAAATGATTGTTTTACACTAGCGGAAATTATTTCTCTCGCGTAAAATATTACGAATGTCAATGTAAATGATACTTTTTATTGCTGCTTAACAGAAAGACGAAGATACATTAATTGCCGACCTCCTCTTACTGAACTGTAGATTGGAATCTCTAAAAGCGCTATCGAATTACTACATAATTATGCGAATTATAATAGTTGTCAATTAATTTAATAATATTCGTAAAGTTTAGCTTTCAGTTTTATAACATAACATGGAAATAAGCTTTTAATAATATCTGTTTCAATTTTTTGATGCGGTGTTGTTATTCGTTTAATAAAGCTTTTGTATCCTATAAATTTTTTATAATTGAAACGTTTCGATCACTTTATCCTGGCTCTTGAGAATGGTGATGAGAATATATTATTTCATTCAAAGGTTATATTGTTCTTATTAGTTTATCAATGCTTCTTAAAGATTTCAAAATCTGTAATTGTCATATTTCTCCATATGTTGCTCCATATGTTGTTTTATTCATTGAGATAATATATTCTAACACTGCTTCTCTAAGGTTTACCGGATATGACACATGTCGAAAGAAAGCCTTACACATAAACGATCCAAACGTGATAAAAATAACTGAGAAGTGGACGAACAATTTTACTCTATCAACGAACGATTTTATAATAACACCGAAAAATACAGTTTAGAAAATTTACAGTTCTTACAGTGCATTTTACGTATAGTATTGGGAAGTGACTTCGATAGACAGAAAAACTAAAATACCAAAACAATTAAATTTTAGCGCCTATCTTCGGTTCACTAATGGCGATTACATGATGATGCATTAATTCTACGAGAATTGCATGGGTATATCTGTTCAAGAAAGTTTCGGAAATCTCCATAATTAAGTTATGATTGTTGGGTTTGGAATCAAGCAATTTAGTGAAATCTGTGACATGATCAATACAGTCGTAATGGGTTTGAAATAAGGCAAGTGTAGAGGTCATTGGAGTCATTGATAGATAGGATTGCATCATTTTGCTGGAACATACCATTACCAGCAGAAACGTGATGCCAAAAGCACCTACTACGCAGAAACATGTACTTGACGGTCTGTGCGAAATAGATAGAAATGTGACACTTTCTGGTCAGCAAACATGACAACAGACTTCAACGGTTCAGATGAGGCGCAGGCATAAGGTCAATAATGGTGCATTGTTGATCTACGACTATGAAATTCCATGAAATGCGGTGATAATTTTGCAGTACGTTGACTGGTGGGTTGAGGGACACCAATGTTGAATTGTAATGCAATGTTCTCTTTCGCACCTTCATTGGGTGTTAAAATTCTTGTGTTAGAATTTGATATCTTTCACATCTACACAACAAAACTTACGATTGAGAGCATTTTGAAATAGCTTATGCAGCTAGTAACACTGAAGTAATTGGAATAGAACACAGAAATCAAATACAACTTTATATTATAATTATGCTTATTCTCTCCAAGGAAGTAAAAGATAATCATTAATTGTGACTATATATCAGAATTGTTCATGCAATTAAAAACTTGTACGGTTTAATAAACGCCAAGCAATAGATTTAAACTTATATAAAAAACAATATTAATCAACTACTTAAAAGATATAAATTCTACCACAAACTGTACAAATTTAATGTTATTTTCGTCATATTTCAAAATTGTTTATTAATTGTAAGCTTCAATTTTTCCAGGAATTCAGAAAATATTTTAAGCATTAATATGAATATTTCAAGTCAGTAATTGCAGTAAAAATAAAAAAAAATATGCATAAAATTTTCCCAAAATTTAAATAATGAAACTTTTAAGAATATTTTTCGTGTGTACGCTGAATAAAAAGTTGAAGATCATTGAGACGAAGCAAACAGTTAAACATTCGATTTAGGCGGAGTGTAGCGGTAATCAGAGCAGAAAATAGGAATGACTTGTTGAGTTCAAATCCAGTCAAGGACTGCTTTCACACAAATCCCTTTGTAAAGGTATTAATCTTTACCTTCTTTCTCAAGCTACAGGTTAATAGATGTGCAAATCGGTAACCTGTTTAGAAGAAGAACTCTGAATTCAAAACCAGTCTAGGCGTTGGGCGAGCAATTCCATCCTATAAAAAAACTGACTTGCTAAGGTAATCAGTGCTACAACCCCTAGTACTGTGAAGCTGTGGATTTATATTCCACAGCGAACTCTACCGGGTTAACGGATATTAGTTAAAAAGAAAATGTGTTATAATATAACAGTTGTTGGTTATGGCTTCCCAATGCCATGAATCGTAGGTTAAGTCATTTACCGCAGTGAAAAACTGATAAATTTGACAGATTACTAAATTATTTTTCATACTTTCCTAACGCCATGAAGTGAAAGTTTACACATATATCCCTGACTTCTTATATAGAAAATCCGTGCTAAATTTGGTAGCTCACCCAAATCACAGTTTGTCGACAACATGCAGCCGAGGTCAAGTCATGTATAGCAACGACTTCTAACATCCTTTTACAAATGCTAACGGCCCAATGTACAGTTCAGTGATGATTCACAAACCGTTTTAGATATTTAGCATGAAGCTGAAACAGTCTATAGAAGAGATGGATTATGAAAGCAACACGTACATAGGTAAGCATGCACATAGCAGCTATTTCAATGTGAAATACTTTCAGAAACTATTGTTACGAACCCCCATCTAAATATATTATAAAAACTATACCATTGCTTATATTTTAGAAGCATTCTAAAATAAAGAGCCCAGTACTTAAAGAAACGTAAAGAATAAAGATCGTAAACCCAAAGAGATAGGTAGACTTAGTGGCGACAGGGATTGACCAGAATGTACCCTTTACTTCTCTTTTGGTCAGCGTGTTGACAGCATGATTTACACGGATATATTCCAGATAGAAGAAGTTGAAACACTTTAAACTAAACTTTCTCTGACTCTGAAGATTAGAGAGAGGGTCGATGACCTCATTCTACCCATAATGGGAAAAGTTCGTATTTGAAAATTAACCACGTGACAAGAAGAAAACGGAAACGAACAGTGAAACGGAAAATTTAGTCTTCGTCTAGGCCTGCGGGCCGATCAGAAGGGCTCACAAGATTTGTCCTGGTGCGAAACTTGTCTATGCATATGGGCCGAAAGGGCGTGTTCGCGAGGTTGCGAGGAGAATTCGTCTCCGAGTGGAATAGATGGACCCGTTTGACGACGTATACGAAATGCCGCTACATCGAGGTGAAAGAGAGACAGAAGACAGCTTATAGAAAAAGAAAAGAAGAAAGCGAGGAAATATAGCAAAAGGAGATACTTATGGGAAAAGGAAAGAGAGGAAGAAAATATCTCGAAGGATGTCACATCGAGATGAAGGAGAAGGAGAAAGAAAGCAGTTTCAACTGTCACCAAGCCATTAAACAAAGGACGAAAGGGAAAAGAAAGAAAGAAAGGAAGGAAGAAAGAAAGAAAGAAAGAAAGAACTGACCACCTTAAGCGAGGATGCTGCTATACCGAGATGAAAAAGAGAGGGAACGCATTTTCAACTTGATCGTCAGCCAAGCCCTTAGACGACTAAAAGAGAAAGAGAGGAAGTAAGAAAAGACCTCAAAAGGAGACCCTTATAAAAAGAAATAAAAAAAGGAAAAAAAGAAGTAGAAGATATAATAGGAGACATAGTGGAAAAGAACTTTTATTATGAGTTAAGTTTATTGTTTTTTTTGTGCTTCGTTTTTAAAATGTACCTCTTTTTCATGCAAATTTAGCATGAGATCTTTTTATTACATGTTTCTTTCCACTTGTCTTAAAATTTTGATGTTTTGTAAATTCGTGCAAGTATGGCATAAGGCCATACGCTGATTTTTATTTTACCTTTCTTAGAGGATGCTCCCCTCCCCCTATTTTGTCTACAATGTTTAAATGTTTATTCTTGACATATTGCCATCTTCTTTTTGACCTTTCTTTTAATTTTATCTTTTCCATGTTTTCATGTTTGTTAATAAATTTATATTTTCTGTCTCCATTGTTGTTTGTCGCCTATCGTGTTTGTTCCTTAATCGATTCTGCTCGGCTGTGTCTGATCAATCAGAAAGAGACCTTTGGGAAAGAAATATATTTTACGAAAATTGAGTAAAATGTTAAAAAAAGTAACATAGATTAAGATCCTCCTCTACCTCCGCTATCGATAGGGTTGGAAAAAAGAGCGGGGTTCGTAATACTATATAAAATTAAAATGCTGATGGTCGGAGAGCCTCTATTTGCAGATGTCACCACTCTAGTTGCTCGCATATAATCAGCCACACAATAAGCAATATCTTGCTTTGCAAATACAACATAACTGTTTGATTGAGATGTATGTCTGGAGGCTGTACCACAGCATCAGTAACACAAGATTTCTGTCTCCATCTGCATTGGACAGATAAAACTAAATATTTCAACTAAGTTTCATATTTTCGGCCTTCAAGTTAAGTATCAGACTGGTAACGGTTAACAAAGCCGTTGGTAAATTATACAAATGTGTCTAGAGTGAAAAGAACCTAATAAAAGACACAAAAGCAAATCTTTAAAAGGCCATTGTACTAAATATATTACTGCATGGTGTCGAATCATGGGTCACAGTTTACAGCCATCTACATCTGTTCGAATGTTTCCATCAGCATTGTCTGATCATCATTCATAACGAAGCTCTGATGCATAGGTTACAAAAACAAAAAGAATATCTTCACAGATATACAGGAAAGGGATACAATGACGTCATAAAGGAAAAATATATTCACTTATAGAATGGATTACTTACGGTGGGCAACAGGATCTGCCAACAGATAGCCTTAGCATCACAAGGTCTTCTAAGTGAGCCAACTTGGAAAACACTTCCGCAGTACTAGAGCTTTTGTTCCATCTTGGCCTCGACAGCCATCAGCGGCTTGCAACAGATGGGAAATTCCTCCTGTAACTTCACGAAGCCAAGTTAAAATACCGAGTCACGGAGATAATTATATCCTTAGCTATATTACTGTCGTCATTCTAATAGAAATTCAAGAAGAAAAACGCATGTCACGTGAACATATGTTCGAGTAGCACAAGGCATTTTGTGAAGGTCAGGAAGACGAAAAACTTATGAACATATTTTTAAAGGCACTTGCAAGTTAAGAAACAACGGGAATATTTAAAAATCGACCAAATCGTTCGAAATATTTTTCAATTTCATCAAAAAATTAAAATTAATACATTGGTCGAATGTTATAGTTGACCTTTTCTATGACACCGAGAAAAAAAAATCTTGACTACTTCAAGCGATGGGTAAAAGAAAAGTGAAAACAAGAGCATATTGAAACTCCCAAGGATTATGTTTGCCCATTGTTCAATGTATTATTTATACAGGCACGCAGAGTTTCAACTTTCATAAGCATAGTCTCGTTATTTAATAGCCACCTGAAAACTTTTTCTTTTTTTCAAAATTCTCAAAGTTCATAATACAAATGTATTGTCGCTTTTAATTTCAGCGATCTTTGTAATAAAGAAATGCATTAAAATTATATAAGTGTTCAAACATTTTCCATAATTTAATGCACTTTATATATGGGCTCATTTGTATATATGCATGCATAAGCAGTCGTTTCAAATCGATGCAGAAAGAGAGAGAGAGAGAGAGAGAGAATAAGAGAGAGAGAGAGAGAGAAAGAGAGTGAGAACGAAAAAAGAGAGAAAGTAAGCAAGAAACTGAGAGAAATCTATATACACTTCAAGAGAGATCTTTAGGGACCTACTCTTCCCACATTTGTTTATTCAGCAATGGTTGTACTTAGAATGATCGAATTTTATTCTGTCTGTACGAATAAAAAATTAAATAAAAGATTGATATTTAAAAAAAGAACAGTAAACACATTTTAGAGTATGACCCTATACAATCTTTTTACATTCGACTTATTATAGTAAAGAAAGGATGATTGTGTCTCATTTGTATCTGTCTGCAATCAAGCTCGTAGGCAGTAACAGAAATTTTATGGAAGATCTAGTTTTTCTGTGAAAACTAGATAGCATCTATCTATCTATCTATCTATCTATCTATCTATATATATATCTATATATATATATATATATATGTGTGTGTGTGTGTGTGTGTGTCCTTAGGATTAATACAAATATAAATTTTGTCACTTAACCAATTGATGTTATATTCAGTACCCCGATTCCAGAATTTCGTAGACGAACCATTTTGTAGGAGGTTCAGTAATTGTGCACTTGAGCAGCAATCCCACTTTGATATAAGTTTCAAAGTTTCATTGAAAACTACTGACAAATTACTGCGATCAATATTTTTATTAAGTCCTTCTTGCATTTGTACAAGTGTTTTCTTTTCTGGACTCAGAGTGTGTAAAAACTGTCCAAATACACAATTATTAAATTACAAGAGGCAGCAGCCAACGAGAAAAGTAACACCACAGTATTCACGAAAAGACTTGTTTCTCGGTAAATAAAAACAGCTAAAAAATAATAGCAGAATTTATATAATGGTTAATAGATTAACCGAAAGCGTTCGGATCCATAGATCATTTGAACAGATTTTACACAGTTTTTACACACGATATATCTGGAAAAGAACTGTCTTGTACAAATGGAAGCTTAATTGCAGTACCTTATCAGCTTTCTTTAATGAGATTAATACAAGTGAACAATAGAGTCTACAATCACAAGAGATGCTTAAGATGTTTTTTCTTATCCTGCACTGTGTATACATCCTTTTGGCGAACTTTGAAAGATTGGTGAAAATTCACTGTCCATAAAGATTCACTTCTCTAATTCTTACTTAATGAAAAACAATTATAATATTTTTGAAAATCGCTTCTTCTTTAAACCCAGGGTGACTTAAAATACGAGTAGATGTGGAAAAGTTCTTGACATAACCCATTTCTCAAAAGCAGTATTATAATATTGTTGATTCATTTTTGGGGAGTAGATTGGACCGAATAACTTTCGGCACCTCCACCTGCATATATATATATATATATATATATATATATATATATATATATATATATATATATATAGTATATATACGAGTTTGTCGTTGCTTGAAATATTTCATCCAACAAAAACAGACTATCATTATTGTTTGTCCGTGTATCGTTTAATATATTGAAATGTAATTGTCATCTTTGATAATGGCTTATGTAAGTCGAAACCTTAGATAGGATTAAAATAAAAACATGTATAAATATTGTGATTTTCTTTCATCTTTCAATGATAATGTTATTAATCTTATCAGACAATATGAAAGGAATTTACTTAAAATAAATAGACAAAACTTGTCTATATAATTTAATGAAACGTGCATCAATAATATATATATATATATATATATATATATATATATATATATATATATATGAAATAATTTTCGAAGAAATAATTATATATATATATATATATATATATATATATATATATATATATCCCCGAAAAATTAATTCGATTGAGCACTTTGGAGAGAAAGAACGAATTTGTTAACAGTGACTATTACTGCTGATGGCGTGTTTATTTAAAAAGAAATCCGTAAAAATTCATCCTCCTCTGTACCGGGCGCCAATAGCTTGACTGGTGCCAAATGATGAGCTGTGTCACAGCGAAACAGTCTGTCTGTGGATGACGGTCTATATATATATATATATATATATATATATATATATATATATATATATATATGCATGTATCCGAGTGAGTACGTGTGTTAGAATTGTTAAAAACTGAAAACAAAAGATGTAAAACTAGTCGCATTACTATACATTTGTGCATTATAGTATATATTAGTGTGTGTGTATGTCGGTTTTGTGTGCGTGTGTTTTGTATCTAGTCTTAAACGAAATAGAGAAAATATGTCAAATGTATTTGCGAAGAAAAAGCAGATGTTGAATGCCTCTTGAAAGAGGAACATACAACAAGGCGCTGAAGCAACGCACGCGAACTCCGACAAGCACTGACAAAGAGCAACTGGCAGATCGATGAAGAACCTAAGAAGTTAGAAAGTCAATGAAATCATGCAGATAGCATAGACACGCGCTATTTTACTCGATTTCCTTTTTGCTTTCTTCCAGCTTTCATATTATTACCATTTTTCCTTTTATACTCTAACCCCTTTAATAAAATTCTTGCTGGACTTAAGAGCGTGGAAAAATCGTGGCAATACAATGGTATACACACAACATGGCAATGACAATAACTCATAACTTTAACTTTTATAAAGGAAAATATCAATGCTTTTAAAAATTGAGAGGTGACAGATTTGTCGGGTTTGTCAGATGGCTGAGAATAACGTTTTGAAATGATGATCCGTGACACTTAGATCATTATATTAGAGAGGCATGAACCCAATATTTCCTCTCACTTTATTGTAGCTTTTACATTAAGATGTAATAGTGTTTTCTGAGACAAGAGGTGAAAAATGTGTGAACCATCATTGATCCATCCATTCTAATACATTGTCTTAAGGGATATGCTTTGTGGTGTAATGGATAACGGCTCGGAATGAGAAATTAGCGAGCCGAGTTCGAATTTCAGTTCGTTTCGTTACATTCACTTACACGCAAATACACTTGGAAAAGGTATGAATTCATCTCTACTCCCATTAGCTATGGTTTATATAGCAGGGAAGACTGGATCCTATAGCAACCTACTGCGGGGAAATCGAGTTAGCATGAATCGAGAGAGTGTATCGCGTATGGCAATTGACTGATTGATTGTTAAGGAGAAACAAGATATTGTCATCCATTTTTACTGACTTTTACTCCAAAGTTTATCTTAGGTACACGTATATACTTTGATATTTTTTAATCATTTAATTTCTTATTACTAGATTCTCACTGTTTTACAGCTGAACTAGATGAGTGCAACCGTATCTTCTATTTGTAATAGTCTCTGTTCTTGCACTTCTTGTTTCCCTGCTAACTAGAATCTTCATAAATTTAAATGCAACTCAATGGCCATCTTTTGTTTTCCTGAACCCTGTTTTTTACTTCTCACTAAAGTTTTCTCATTCCCCTTCACTCTCAGTGACACCTTCCATGGTATTATCGCCTTTCTAGGTGTGAAATGATAAATAACAAAAAAGTGCTTCACAAAAATATACTAGTTTATTAACATTAAATATATATTTTTTATACATCCAAATAATTCGCATCTCATCAATTTGAAATTTTTTCCTGGATCGTGTAACAAAATAAAGATATTTTCAAGTGGTGGCTAATTAAAGGCTTACCAGGTGGGGTTTTAATGAATATTATTTTGTGCTCACATATGTTTCATTCAGTGTCAGAGATTCACTTCTACAGTTCAAATGACTCTTGTTTTGTGCATGTCCTTGATATGAGCCTAGTTTGACACAATGCCGTATATTAGAAAACTAACACAAATATGTTAGTGTGGTGGTATTGTCTAACTGCTTGAAAAAATAGCACCCGTAATCTTGACAAATACAAGGACTCGAACAATGATATCGAAGACTAGAGAGAAATAAGTACGTATTTCAGCCACGAAGTAGGCCAAAATATATCACTAAGCATTCGTTAGTCTAACACAATATAAATAAATGAAGCCCCAACTGATCTTCGAAATTTATGGCTTATTTCTTTGCTCTGTACCTATTGTTGCGTCTGAATTTTCTTTGAATATAATAACCATGAGTTAGATAATTATAACTTCATTAGAATAAAAAAAAAAAACAAGAATATTTCGAAAGAAATCTTTTAAATATCAGCTTGCCTTCAAGTAGCAAAAACTAATAAACATGTTTATGTTCAGGTAAAGAAATTAAGAAGAATTACGCAACAGCAAGAAAAAGCAAGCAATCAACTGATTACGGAAGACGACACATCTGTTGATCGAAAAAATGACTGAAGGCAGGAATAAATAGCGAAAGGATGAAGAAGGAAAAGTATTAAACATTGCACAATATCTTCTCCATTTTTTGGATAAACGACTTAACGCAGAGTTATTCAGATTGTATGAAAGCATTCAGAATTCAATCTTTTCCTGGGATTTGCAATCGATTGTTTTTTTCTCAAATGCTTTGATGTCGATACTTGATTTACACTTTGAATAGAGATAGATACATCAAATATATATTCCATTCTCTAAAGTACGTACCAAAATTCAGGTACATACACAAAACTGCAAATGAAAAATCTTCTTCGTGATATTTCGAAGATAACCAATAACTGAAAGTCAGGAGAAAGAATGTTAACATTAACAGCAGAACGGTCGGGAGTTTTGACAATCAAAACATATAGGATAAATATAGAGGCACGTATATATAATATATAACTTAAAAAATGATTAAATAATTTTCAAGACAGGCATGGATTAATGACTGATTCATTTATGTGTGAGGCTTGGGCAGATTGAATATTACAAGCAAAGAAAATACTTCCGTGTTGATTGTTAATTCTGACTGACACAAGAATAAGTTTTTTGTATTCAATTCCGTTCATATTTCATTTCACGCAACGAAACTCAGAAACACACACATAAAAACACACACACAAACACACACATATACATATCTATCTATCTATCTATCTATCTATCTATCTATCTATCTATCTCTCTCTCTCTCTCTATATATATATATATATCTATCTATCTATCTATCTATCTATATATATATATATATATATAAAAGAAAGACAGAAAAATAGACAATCATACTTATGGAAATTAGAAAATATTATTTATGCATGCAAAAATGAAAAAAAAAAAAAAAGTTATAAATTATATATACGAGGGGTTGGTGAAAGCATTCAGTTGTCCTTATAGGTAAATAGAATAAGTTTTTTAGACTCATTTCTTTGTGAAGCCAAGAACTTTTCACCAAGCCCTCATCTCACTGTCTTTCTCCTTCCCTTTCACGCTCTCTTTCTCTCTCTCTTTTCCTCGCTCTCTCTCTCTCTCTCTCTCTCTCTCTCTCTATATATATATATATATATATATATATATATATATATACATACATACACCAGACACACACATATATTTATATATATGATAACAACAGGTCATGTGTGATAACAAAAATCTTGTTATTATGTATCATTGGTGGTCAATATATATATATATATATATATATATATATATATATATATATATATATATATAAATGCAGTCGAACTGTTTTATCCAAATTGAAAGGACAAGGTATGTATTTTTTTTCTTATACAAGAATAAATTGGCACCTAAATTACGCAAAAATTAGAATAATATTGTCATCTCATTTTAATAGATATATCTACGAAAATTACACAAAAATATCTTGAAATACTAAAGAGTAAATTTGTTCAATAAAATCCCCATTGGCTTGAATCACGGCCTCCAGACAACTTCTGAATTTCCAGCATCTCTTCTGGACGGTCTCCTTGTTCAAGTTCGTAAATGTTGCCATAATCCTTGCCTTCAGTTCATCTTTGGTGTTACAAGGAGTTATGTTAGTCTCCCACTCAACTGCGCCCCGCACATAATATCCAACGGGGTTGAAATCTGGGGAATTATGTGGTAAAGGGTGTTATGGTTGCGAAAATTGTCTCACAGCCATGACTGGGTTCTTCAACCAGCTATTCTCTTGAACAAGGGTAGAACTACCGCCTCAAGTCGCTTGATGTACGCCTCCGTGTTGGGTCTGAGGCGAACCTCTGCACAGTCCTCAGATTGCCAGCCAAACACTCTGAAATGATTTTACTTGAGCTTCCGGCGCAAATGACAAGCAATACAGCATGCCGTTTTCAAATTTCTGTCGGGGTGATTTGCGTCATGGTACACTTTTTCTTTCAGACGATGTCCAACTGACCCTACTATACTGTGCAATCGACAAAAAGCAAAAACAAACAACGCGCATGTACGAAATTAAAAATCTAAAATGGCAACAATTTACTCATCGCACGCTGTATTTTTCTAATATATAAATCTGATGTCGCGCATCCGGATCAAATTTATTGTGAAAGCGTGAAAATTTCTTGTTATTCGAGTATTTTCGACCACCTCTAGACATGATCAAGGATGTTAATATTATGTATCTGACAGAAAGAAACTGTAATGAGTTTCATATATATATATATATATATATATATATATATATATGTGTGTGTGTGTGTGTGTGTGTGTGTGTGTGTGTGTGTGTATATTTGCCTGACTGTCTATGCACGCCAACACTCGCGTATACGGTTGCTTATATCTGGTCGTTTGGTTTTGATTTACCATTGTCTATCTATCTATCTATCTATCTATATATATATATATATATATATATATATATATATATATATATATATATAGAGAGAGAGAGAGAGAGAGAGAGAAAGTATGATAATTTATTGTGTCAGGTAGACATATTTGTAACTTAGCACAGGATAGGACTTTTTTAAACACTTAAAATACATGCACAGACGCATACATGCACACACATACACGCACACACACACACATATAAATGCGTCGGTACATCAATAAGTCTGTATTCTCATGCTGAAAAGACATCAATATATTCTCTTGTCAACGCTCACAATCAAGGCTTCTTGTTTGATCGTGTCAAATTTGTGTTTTGCATTTTTGCATATACGACAATATTTATTGACCTTAAAAACCTGAACACATCGCTTCTAGAATAAATGACTGGTTTTAGAAAACTGAATTTTTATGTGACATTTGAAATAACTGGAAATTTTACAGGTAAAATTTATATTTAATAATTAAATTGGCAAACCTTTTCCATATAAAACATAATTGCCCTACCCATGAAGGTGCAACTGTAAAAAAATGAACTAGTAAAATTCAACTGTTCAAGGCCAAGTATCAGAAAAATCTGCGTCTATTGTATAAGCAAACATAACATTTTCTTTCTTATGTGATGTAAACCACAGGAAATGGTTATTCTGACGACATGGACAGTAAGAGGGGTATGATATGATCTGATCTGATCTGGTCTGATCTGGTCTTTAAAACTGTTAGTCAAATCTTGAAAAACTAGCACAGTGAAAGATGCTTAGACAGAATCATTCACTGATTCATAAGGAGTTATATATATATAGTGGGGGGAAACAAATATTCGTACACGTACAATTTTTTACTTATTGTATTTCCAAATAATGAATAAACGTACATTCCATGTAATTAACTGTACACAGATGCATAATAACTAAATATGCATAGAAAACAGAAAAAAATTGATTTAATAGAGATAAATCCGATTTATCCATTTTAATGCGTGAAAAATGTATTCGTACAATGCAAAAAGAATAGATAATCTTCATTCAATACTTTGTAGAATAGCCATTATTCACTTCTCCAGCAACCAGCCTCTTGTAGTTCTCAATTAATTATTTCCAAACTTTACTTGGTACTTTGTTCCATTTTTCTTCGCATATGATCTTCATAACCCGGATGTTTGTTGGAGTTCTCGATTGGATTTAAATTTTCAAATAATGCCACAGATTCTCGATTGGCCATTTCAGGATATTTACAATATTTTCAGGAAGCCATTTCTTCATAGATTTTCGCACTGTGCTTAGGATCATTATCTATAGTATTAAAGCAATTTCGAATACTTTTTCATCCATTAACATAGATAAATGGGATTTATTTCTATTAAATCAAAAAACTATCTGTTTTCTATGCATATTTTCTTATGCATCTGTTTTCAGTTAATTATATGAAAAGTATGTTTATTCATTAGATAGAAATACAATAAATTAAAAATTTGTATGTGTACGAATATTTGTTTCCCCCACTGTATTAGAGTCAGAGTATATAAGCCGACATATTGACCTCAATTATGTAATTTTGTTACGTTCTATGCAGCAGTTATGTTTATAACATTCGTAAATTCTAAGTGTTATGGTCTGAAGAATAGGTCAGGACATTTCCAAAAAAGAACGTTTTATTGAGTAACGCACCAAGGAAGTAAACCAACCACATAAGTCTTATGAAAACGAACAGTGAAGAGACGTTTACCCCCAATTATACGAACAGAAGGGTTACGATGGGACAAACTGCAGGCAGCTTTAATGAAGCTGGAGCAAGAAATGCTTTACACGGGAAATCGATACTTGTCTATATGGATGCATATTCGTAACATGCTAAACAATAGCCTCCGCCAAAGTCCATTTGGTGACCAATTGGACTTTGGAAGACGTTGGTCACGTTCGATGACTATATATTTTTCCAGAATGAAAGATAGCCATGCATAGTTATCCTTGAGAAATGATGATACAAGGACTCACTGTAGGAAAAGAGTCAGTGAAACACATTAAGATTTCACACCTTATTAAGCTCATTTTCCCGTTGAACATTTGTGATGCGTTTAACTGCAAAACTCACTGCGTAACTTGCAGGAGTTAATCGACTTGCTGATAATATTCTTGCCCGTGATGTAAATGGAATGCTTTAAAGATCTGTTAGTATCTTGATAAGAGTTGTTTTGAGGTTGCAAAATTCTATTAGGCAGATAATCATATTGCTTTTGGCTGAATTTTTATTTTATTTTTACAATGATGTTCACCCTGTTCAAGGCTACATGGCGGATCTTAGCCGCGGACGTTAGAGCTGGTGGAACTAATGAATATAGTTCATGAATGTATTTGTAAGTAACACTTTCATATATAGAGCAGTGAGAGACTCGCCACATTCCGCCTGTGAGAAAGAGGTTGTGGGGTGGAAAATAATTCTTCTTCAACAAGAACTTGGAGACGCTTTTGAACTCTATCAAGACTTGAAAGTGAAGACTGGGAACCCCCCGCCCAAATATGGCAACAGTACTCCATTTTCTGTCTGAGCTAGAGGATAGAATGAGGAGTCAATTGCTTACTGAAGCGGTACAGGGAGCCGGTCATTTTGCCTGCATCTTTAGCGATGGATCGTATATAAGAGTTCCACTTTAAGTCGGTGTGAGTGAGGCCTAA